TTGACTGTTCTGAAGTGTTGCAAACACAGAAGAATGGGTCTTTTAGTAAAAAAGATAAAAGAGTAGGACCTTGGACTGTTTGTCTGTGTGGGAGCATTGATGGTGTTTAAATAACAGCTCACCACCTGACTGATATCTGTGTGATTTGAAGATCTGAGACTTTGGAGTAAAAGGAATAAGTCACAATGGACAGTTGAAGGGAAGAAACAACAAAGCAAGAAAAGGGAGAAAAAAAAGCCACGAAAGACTCACTAAAGGGAGAAGATGATGGAGATCTGGAAATCCACTGTAGGTCCTTCGCAGAATTTAGGTAAACTGTTTGCAATGGAGGAATCACAGGACAAAAGGTTTCTGGGTCAAAAACGGGTGAGTAGGGTTTGTTCTTAGAGGAAAAAACAATGAGGGATGCAGACAGTGGGTGTGTAATTGATGCAATATTTGTTACACCAATAATGTTTCCTGAGGTTGTGCATGGAGTGTGAACATTATTTTTACTTGTTTATCCTGCAGTAAAGTGAAAGCAGCACGGTTTTAAATTCTAATTTGATTAGCACAAAAATTCTGCTCTTGACTGGTGTTGTTTGATTGACCATTTTTATACAATACATACAATCAGTTAATAATGATATGTATACTTTCTAATTGTGTTTCTGTGAGACATGATGCTGTGGCTCAGTGGTTAGAGACACTGTCTTCTAATGAAATAGTCGTAGGTTTGATTCCACCAGTATACAGTCACATGTCAATGCATCCCTGAACCTCTCATTGCCTCTGAAATGCCCCGTTGGTGTTTGAATGTGATCTGAAGCATTGAGACTGCAGTATATGGAATGATGTATTTAGGTTAGCTTTGTAGAGATGTAGTAGAGAGCTGTATGAATGTGTGTGGCTGAATAAATGAGGGCACAGATTGTGCTGTGAAGGGCTTTCAGTATCTAAAAAAGTTAAGTCAGGTCCTCTGGAGGGTTCAAAACCCAAAAAAAATATACAGAAACGTTTTTATCTTTCATCTGAAAGACTTCTTCAGTCGGAGGCCCATCAGCCTAGCAAATGATTATTAGAGAGAGAGAGAGGAGTGATGGAAGCCATCTTTGTGAAGGGAACCCGTCCATCGTTAAACGGGGTGGGGTCTCCATGTTCAACTGTCCCCCTCTTACAATGCTGTTATTGCAAGAATCACTCAGTCCTTTGTGAATAGCAAGCGGCCATCAGGGCACTAACGATTGGTTGTTAGGCTGATGGTCCTCTTTGATCATGTAAACAGCTAGTTCTGGATGTCACCAGAAAACTGGTTTATTCACTATGAGAAGGTGTTCTTTATAAGGGTGCATTCACACCAGCCCTGTTTTAGCCTCCAGTCTACTGCCGCGTACGTACGCGTGAACGGACGTACGCGTGTACTGTACGCAGAGGGTTCAGTCTTCGTTCTCCAGCGTACACCCCGAGCAGCTGCAGAGCAGCTTCACAGACAAGGGGCGTTTACCTTTGGGACAAATTTAGGTTGCCGATTGGTCATTTGCTGACACGCCTACTGGATTGATTGACAGGTCGGAAAAAATAAAAATAAAAGCGAGCGCTGGCAGCCTCAGCCACAGCGGTGTTCTGTGTTTATATGTTGTTAATAAAAATAACTAAAAACTTTTTAAAAAAAATAACAGGGAGCGCAGGCTCTACAGCCCACACATCAGACCAGCACACCAGGAAATCTCCAGACCCCCCACAGCCATGCTGGACCTGAGTTTAATTCGTTCGTGACAAATTCCTTCATTTCTCACCATTTCAGTCATTGCATCAACTGAGGAGGAAGAGATCACTGCCTCTTGGCAAAAAAACACAAGAAAAGGCCAGATCAGAGATGAGGAAGGGAATTTTAATACATTGGTGTCACATATAAAACAGTCCGTCGCTGGGCAGTTTATTGTGCGACACCGCGTACGTGTATGCGGTTGTAAAAATTTGAGCTTTGCACGGACATGCCCTGGGGGGTACGCTTGTACCTCTGCGTTCGTACGTGCGCACCTCTGCGTATGGACATACGCGGGAGTATACTGGGGGCTTAAGTCCACTTTAATCGAGTCTAGTTCGTTTGCCTAGAAAGTCCTGTACGTTTGGGGAGGTGTGATTGCACAATCGAACTCTGATGCGGACCAAAAAAGCGAACTCTGCTCTGCCTAAATACCTAGATCTTGGTCCAGTTGAAGTGAACTCTAGCGCAGTTCGAATGCAGTGTGAATGCAAGTGGAACAGAGACTGCTCCAAAAGCAGGAAGTGGACTACAGCGCAGGGCGAACAAACATGCATTTCTCTTACCTCATACGGAGCCGTCAGCTGCCTTGTGTGAAAAACAACATTCTCCATGGTCTTCTGCCCCATCTTCTTCTCGTGTTGAGTCCATTGTTGAAAAATGGCAAAACAGAAATCCTAAAACCACTAATATTTAATGACACTCCCTTTTTTGTTTTTATTTCCAGAAGAAATGTCGTCTTCAGAGGTTTTTGTGTCGTTTCCTTTAGTAGTTTTAGGTACAGCCACACCACATGTGTGTGTGTGGGTGGTGGTGGGGATGGGGGGGGGGGGGGGGGGGAGGGGGGGGACAGGTTGATTCAATTGACTCTGTGCAGTATGAATGCAAACCGCACAAGCTGAAAATGTAAACAAGTATTCAGAATTTTGGTCCCCAATCAAACCGAGTCTACCGGACTGTCAGGTGTGATAACACCCTAAGACTGAGTTTATTGGACCAGTTCTTTACCCTCACTGGTGTCCTCAAGGGGTCATGGGAGTTTGCCCATCCAGTCAACATGTGTTTTGTGGACTTGGAGAAGGCTTTCAGCCGTGTTCCTCAGGGTATACTAGTAAGGGATGCTCTGTGAATATGAGATTGGAGGCCAGTTGCTATGGGCTGTTCGGGCCCTAAATATAAAAGCGGTGCGAGAGTTTGGTTTGCATTGCCAGAATAAGTCGGACCCCTTCAGGGTGAGAGTTGGACTCTGCCAGGGCTGCCCATTGTCACCGATTCTGTTCATAACTTTTATGGAAATAATTTTTCGGTGCAGCCAGGGGGCAGACGGAGGGATTCCAGTTTGATGGCCTCAGGATTCCATCTCTGCTCTTTGCAGATGATGTGGTCCTGTTGGCATCATCATGCCGCGATCTTCCGCTCTCACTGGAGCGGTTCGCAACATAGTGCGAAGCAGCTGGGATGAGAATCAGCACCTCCAACTCTGAGACCATGGTCCTCAGTCAGAAAAGGGTGTATTGCTCTCTTCAGGTCGAAGGTCCAGGTCTCTGTTGTAAATGAGTCCTCGGGGCTCAATGGGATTAACCTGTATAAATAAAGGTTGAATGAGGGTGAGATTCTGCCTCAAGTGGAGGAGTTCAAGTGTCTTGGGGTTTTGTTCTGGAGTGAGGGAAGAATGGAGCGTGAGATTGACAGAAGGATTGGTGCAGTGTCTACGGTATTGCGGACTTTGCACCAGTCCATTGTGGTGAAGAGGGAGCTGAGCTGTAAGGCAAAGCTCTCCGTTTACCTGTCAATCTATGTTTCTACCCTCATCTATGGTCACAAACTCTGGATCGTGACCAAAAGAATGAGATCGCGGATACAGGCGGTTGAAATGAGTTTTCTCCGCAGGGTAGCTGGACTCTCCCTAAGAGACAGGGTGAGAAGTTCAGTTTTCCGGGAGAGACTTGGAGTAGATCTGCTGCTCCTCCACATTGAGAGGAGCCAGTTGAGGTGGTTCGAGCATCTGGTAAGGATGCCTGCCTAGGGAGGTGCTTCGGGCATGTCCGACTGGGAGGAGACCCCGGGGAAGACCCATGACACGTGGGAGAAGCTATGTCTCTTGGTTGGACTGGGAACATCTTGGAATCCTCCCAAAAGAGCTGGAAGAGGTGGCTGTGGAAAGAGATGTCTGGGCCTCCCTGCTCAAGCTGCTGCCTTCAGGACCTGACTTTGGAACAAGCGGAAGATGATGGAGAGATGGATGGAATGAGTTTGTTGCAGCTCCTCAGACTGAAGAAGTCCTTTGGATAAAAGACAAAAAGTTTCAACAAGAAGAATCCGTCCAGAGGACCTGACTCAGCATTCTTAGATAACAATGAATGATTTTACCAAAAGTCACAACCACTGGGTTTAATCTTGTTTTCTTTATTGGAATCAATTAATCTGTTTTAATCAAAAATGCTGAAAAAAAGGGAAAGTAGAGAAAGCGTAAAGAGTACCGGTACCTTCTCTGCAAAAGTTAGTGTTGTGTTTGGACAAAA